TGCATACATACGCGTATTCATACATACCCATACGTGCATAAATAAATACATTTAGAGTTTTGGAACTGAAGCACACTGCACTTGAACTTACTGTGTAGCCCACTAACCTTGAACTTACTGTGTAGCCACACTAACCTGGAACTTACTGTGTAGCCCACTAACCTTGAACTTACTGTGTAGCCCACTAACCTTGAACTTACTGTGTAGCCACACTAACCTGGAACTTACTGTGTAGCCACACTAACCTGGAACTTACTGTGTAGCCCACTAACCTTGAACTGATCCTGCAGACTGCGCCTCCCAGGCGCTGGGTTAGGGGTGTGCACCACTGTGGTCTGCTCCGAAACACTTGTTAACAGGGTTGTGGCAGCTGGTGGGTAGGCTCCTGTGCTTGCAGAATGAAGTGTACTGATGTTTGCTTTCCTCAATAGTTCGTAACGGACCTGAGAGTGGCAGCAAGATTATGGTTCAGTTTCCCCGGAACCAGTGCAAAGACCTTCCGAAAAGTGACGTTTTACAGGACAGCAAGTGGAGTCACCTCCGTGGACCATTCAAGGAGGTTCAGTGGAGCAAGATGGAGGGCCGTAATTTCGTTTACAAAATGGAGCTGCTTATGTCTGCACTGAGCCCCTGTCTGTTGTGATTTTCTCCAGAACGAGTTCCAGAAACAGTGACTTGCATGTTTGCAGATCAGTTACAAGCACAAGGGAGAGATGTCTTCCATATAAGTCCTGGCGTTCCAGTCCTTCACAGGAGCCCTGTGTGGAAGCTAGCAGCTGGCATCCTCACTTTATAAACGATGGGTGCTTTGGAGGGGAAACGTTTATGTACAGTTGTAGTATGCAGTATGGGGAGATGTAAAATAATACATTTTTATACAACTACCCTGAAAACATTATTAAATTAAGGGCTTGAATTTGCTTTTTAAAATAAGAAAAAAAATTCCTATCTTTGATGTTAACATAAGCTTTGTTTAAAATCTCTGAGGTTTTTGTGAATTTCTTACAACCATATAAGCTGTATCTCAAATCAGCCACTCCTACTGTTTCTTTTTTTAATCACTGAAGAAGATCTTGTGACACAGATTCACTGAGCACACCAGGCCCTTTCTCTGAAATCCGCCAAGATCACCCACAAGAAACAGTCGTCCCCAGCATCAGAGAGAGCTCTTGGGTGTTGGGAACTTAAATGCTTCTTACTTACCTGGGTCAACAAGAGCGGGTTAACTTACACAGAGAAACCTTGTCTCGACAAACCAAAACCGGTCAAGAACTTCCTGGGAAGGAGACAGGTGCGGTCTGGGGCTTGCTTCTCACTCATCAGTCCTAAGTGGCTGTCCCCTCTGTCCCCTCCAACATCCCCACCCCTGCTCTTGATGCTCCCCAGGCCCATCATCTTTGACGTCCCTAGCAGAAAGATTTCATCAGATCTAGCTTTTTGGTGTGAGTTTTGCTTTGTGTTTTGAGACACAATCTACTCTGTATGGAAAGTCAGCCTTGATTTGTGACAACTGTTTCAGCCTCTGATTCTGGACAAACGCCGAGTGTGGGTGTTTTTCCACCTTAAGGTGTTTGGACTCAGTGTCCTGCCTCACTTTGTGCAGGATCCAAAAAACCTACCATGATACAGTCTCCATTTTCCCTGTTAGTGGTGACTAAGTCTTTGGCTGTGTAAAAACTTGGTAGAGCTGACGGCACTTGACTTGAGATTTGACTAAGACACAAAGGAGACATGTCAAGTATGGTGGCACATGTCTGTAATCCCAGGACGAAGGAACTGGAGACAGGAAGATGAGTTCAAGGTCCAGGTGGTCTGCCTGGGATTCTGTTTGGGATTAAAAGCATTTGTCACCACCACACCACCACCCAGCTGAGATTCTGTTTTTAAAAATGGGAACTATAAACTGAGAAACCGGGTAATAACTAAGAAAGTGAGTCTTCCAGGAAGAAACAGTCTTCTCTCTCCCTTCATCCTGCGGGAGTGCCCAGTGTGAGTCCCTTGTTGGAAATTCTAATTGGCACTTAAACTACGAGAAATAAAGTAGTTTATTAAATAAGTCTACTTTGTTTAATCAGGAAAAAAGCCCTAAAGTATGAGATTCCTGAAGAAAAGTATTTGCAGGCATAGCTGGGTCACTTTATTAGTTACACCGATAGAATTTAGCTTTCCGTAGGTACACTGTTAGACCAAAACTAAGGTGGACATTCTGACTCATCCTATGTTGGCAGTGCCCTCTCTCACCCCACTACTCTGTCTGACAAGCTTCCCCTGGAACCCCCCCCCATTTTATAAAACACGGAGATCCCAGAAGATGACAGTCAAAAGCATCACCAGGGAGGCAGGCCGGGGAAATGGTCTCAGGGAAGCACCGCTGTGAGTGTGTGAGGATGGACTGGGATCCCAGCATCTGGATAAATGCTTCATGACTGTAACGATCTGACTATAATCCCAGGTTCCTAGGGCAGAGCTGGAGTCAGCCCTGCCTCATCCTACGTTGGAGAGCCATCGAGGAAGATACATCAACCTCATGTTTCCATGTGCACACATGCATGGACGGTATGTCTACTGTGTTTACATGCACCACACGAGAAAAATGAGTAGGAAACATGCCTGAAATCCGAGGCAATAACAGAAAGCTGGCTAAGGTTTTGTTTCGTTTTTCCTGCATGTTGTCCTATAAGCCTTTCTTTAATCTCGGCACTTGGGCGGCAGAGGCATGTGGAGATCCAGGCTGTCCAGGGCCACATAGGGAGAATCTTGTCTAAAATTTTTTAAAAATGTCATGAAATAAAAAGGATTTTAGTGAAGAGACATGAGATGCTGCCGAGACACATCAGGAAGAGTAGGTAATGTGTACTGCAGAGTCATCTGACTAAACAGTTGCGGGCTGGGATGTAGCTTAATGGGAGAGAGCTTGCCTAGCATACTGAGGGCCCAGGTTACAGAGAGAAAACGGGTGTGTGTGATCGCTGAGATGTGTACTCTATAGACATGCTTATGTGTGTAGAAAGACACCGTTCCCTCTGAGAAGTGAAGATGAAGAGAACTGTCACTGTAGTAGAGACTTTGGTATCCCATTTGACCTTTCAAAAGCATTATTTTTGCAGTTAAAGATTCTTCAGCCGGGTACTTGGAAGGCAGAGGCAAATGGATTTCTGTGAGTTCCAGGCCAGCCTGGTCTACAGAACAAGTTCTAAGACAGCCAAGGCTTTACACAGAGAAACCCTATGGGGGGCAAGGCGCAGGGAAGGCTCTTGAAAGGCAGGGAAGTCAGGACTCCAGCAGCTGTGCCCTGGTGAAGGATAGGCACCTGAGATGATGGTCACACACAGAAGCTCACACATGGGCAACCCATCCCTCTCGGGCATGGAAGCTGATGTGAAGTTGTGCTAACAGTGAGTTTTCAATTAATTCTAGAGGTGTCTGGAAACAGCACAACAAGCCCACTCTGATACATGAAATCTGGTAACAGCTGGAGGAATCTCCGCTGTGCCAGCACCTACTAGGCTGTCAAAGCAACTACATCTGAGACACATTCCTAGAGGCCACCCCGCCGTATTTGGCTCCCTGGTCGTCCCTTGGCACTCCAGCCCATGGTTACATTTCTGCAGCCCTTCTGAAGGATGTCCTCAGGCTGTGTCTACATCCTTGCAGCGGCCAAGATGCCCTAGGAACCTTACCTCTCTGTATCTGTTCCTCACTGGTGTTGCTTCCGGTTACTCCTGAGATGGTCTCAGTTACATCACTGTGGGCCTCAAGAGACTGGTGTTTTATTTCAGCTACTTAATCCCAGAAAGCTGCCCCATGAGCACAGCTACATCTCTGCGGTTCTCAGCTCATACTCTGAGGAGGTACAGTTGACAGCAGAGTTCTACAGGGCAAGGTCTGCACCATTGAAGGAGGGGCATGGCAATCTCCTAGTCTCACCCTTTCCAGAAGGAGTAAAGACTCTAGAATCACAGTTAAATTTTGGAGGTACAGATTTCAAAATGGACTTCTGGGTACAACACATGGGTTTTGTTTTTCTAAGGTGGGAAAATATGTTGACAGAACCAATGTAACCATGGTTAGGACCAATGTAACAAGGTTAAGGACAACATAACATAATGGTTGAGACCAAGGTAACTGTTAGGGCCAATGTAGCAAGGGTTAGGACCAATGTAACAATGGTTAGGGACCAATGTAACAAAGGTTAGCACCATTGTAACTATTAGGACCAATGTAATAGTTGGAATCAATGTAACAGTTAGGATCAATCTAAGTTGTGTTATTTAAAAGTTATTTAGCCAGGGGGTGGAGGGGAGGGTGGCAGCACATACCTTTAATCCCAGCACTTGGGAGGCAGAGGCAGACGGATCTCTGTGAGTTTGAGGCCAGCCTGGTCTATAGAGAGAGTGCCAGGATAGGCTCCAAAGCTACACAGAGAAACCCTGTTTCGAAAAACAAAACAACAACAACAACAAAAACCAACAACAACAACAAAAAAAAACCCAGCTATCTGACACCCCCTGCCACCCACCTCCACCCCCATTTAACAGTTCTGTATGTGTTCAGTACCACCCGGAAACCTCATCCAGAGCCTCTGACTTTTTTAAATTACTATTTTACTTTATTATTGGCTTTTTTGAGGCAGTGTTTCTCTGTGGCTTTGGAGCCTATTCTGGAACTAACTCTTGTAGACCAGGCTGGCCTCGAACTCACAGAGATCCGCCTGCCTCTGCCTCCCGACTGTTGGAATTGAAGGTGTGCGCCGCCACCGCTAGGCTAAATTATTATTTTATGTGCATAGGTGTATTGGCTGTACCACATGCATGCCTGGTGCACGAAGAGGCCAGACAAAGGCATCAGATCCCCTGGAACTGGAGTTACAGACAGTTGGGAGCTGGGACTCAAACCTGGGTCTCTGGAAGAGCAGCCAGCGCTCCTAACCTCTGAGCCATCTCTCTGGCCCCAGCATTTGGCTTTTTGACAGGAGTGTACTCACACAAAAAACTAGGACCTTATTTTCACAACTATTTATTTCCATTCATTTTAAACAGTTTTTTTTCACAGCATCTGTAACAACTTATTTAACATGACATTGGTCATTCTCTATAATTTAATATTAAAAAAAAAACAAAACAAAACTTGAGACCCTAGAATTTAAGAATGGAGCCGTTTTAGAGGTGCATAGGAAAACCGCTTTCCAATTAGGGCTGCGGAGAAAATGACTCCATGAGATTCTTCCAGATCGATGGGATTTACTGATCTGCCCATGGAAGCCTCCTTGGGATCCACTTCCATCTCTCTGGTCATGAGGCTTAGCCTCCACTGACTCCCAGCCAGGAGCATAGAACAGGCTCCTGCTTCAGAAAACCGGGGGCTTCCGAGAGGTGCGCCTCTGTTCCCCAGTGGAACGTGTGGAAACGGCCTTGGCCCAGTGCTCTCTTCCTAAGGGCACAGTGTGGGCATCTGCACACGTGTACACAGGAGGTGACAAGGGTGAGTGCCTCCCGAGTCAGGTGCGTACCAGCTGCTCCCGTTGCTGCTGGCTGAGCCCCCTCTGGCCTGCTGCAGGCTCCCGTGGGAACACTACAGGCCCCTTCCTCTAGCCCTCAATTTGCTCTTTGAAGAAAGGCTTATGAATGACTACGAGGGTAACCTCAGCCGTACAGAGCTGTCCTCCACCTTCAGGGGTTCTGCTGGGCCTGCTGACTGCCTACTTCCCTTCAGAGAAGGAGGGAGCGGGAAGGATCCTGGTGCCCTCACCTGGGTATTCCCCACCCTCCAAACCAGCTGTAAGCAGTTCTGCCTTATTGCCTGTGGCCTTGTAGGGAGAGGCTAGAGCTCATCATGGTAGAGAAGGAGCTTCACAAAGCACCTAGGAGGAAGCCATCATTGCCTCAGGGTGCAGACCTTCTGTTGTTTCAAGAGCACCTGTGCCTATACCCCGTCATCCACTGCTCTGTAAGAAACCTAACACACTCATCCGTTAGTTCCTGGGTGAACTCTGGTGGCCCTGCACCTTGGTTGTTGGGACTTGAGGAGGAGAGGCAGTCAATGCTTATGACTTCCCAAGGAAAGGAATTTCAGCAAGGATTCCTTACCTGCCACATGGGAAGTAGAAAAGATAAGGGCATTGGGGACCTGAAAGGAAAGAGAATACAAGGAATGTTCCGAGAATGCAAGGAATGTTCTAGCACGCTTTTATCCTTGTATGCATGACTCTGCAGCCAAGGGCCTGCACAGAGCTAGCGACCTCCTTCATAGCTGGAGTGGTAGCTCTGATCTGCATCTGTAGATACTGAAGCGAGAAGGGCGTGATGCCTGCTGCTACAGCTTGGCGGAGGGAAGCTGGGAAGGAGACTCTTCGAAGTAAACATTGTGACATCGGCCTGAGAATGTGAAAGCCAAGGCCGACTCGGACCCAGCCCCCAAGCTCAGCTGGAGCCCTGACAATCCAGATCATTGAAAGACGTTTTTTAGATTCAGCTTTTAAATTTTATTTCCTGTGTATGTATACGCCATGTGTGTGCAGTGCCCATGGAGACCAGAGGAGGGCATCAGATCCCCTGGAACTGGAGTTACAGAAGGTTGTGAGCCGCCGTGTGGGTGGTCAGAATTGAATCTGGGCTCTCTGCTCTTAGTCACTGAGCCTTCTCTCTAGCTCCACCCCAGGGCGTTTTAACCTTGCACTTTCCCATACAGCTTTCCAGACCCTGCGGGGATTCTCACGCCCTTCTCCATCACTCTGAGAGACCTGGGCTAGTGCTCACTTCCCCTCGAGCCCTATGAGGTAGGTGAAGGCCACGTGCTCTTCAGCCCCAGATCTGACTGGAGACGAATGGAGGGCACAGCAGTTTGGGGATCAGATGGGAGCACAGAGGCACAGAGAGCATGTCCCAGTGCGGGCTGCACATCGGCCCCTCTGCAGACACTGCCCCTGGAGACAGGGACTTCTCACAGGCCAGGGTGGGATCATAGCCAGTGCTGTGAGCAGCTCCTGGTGTCTGCCTGTATCATTGGGTACGTAAGGATCAGCATGGCCCTGAAGCTGCAGCCAAGGGAAGTCCCTGGCCAAAAAGCCTCCGCTGAACTGCTCCTTGAGCTACGTACAAGTCCTAGAGCTGGCTTTCGGTAGTGAGCCATCGCCTGTCGGTCTCTAATGTTGCAGCTGTCTCATCGGGAGAGCGGCGCCGGCCAGGACTGCGAAAGGCTGCAGGACTGACGCGGTTTGTTCCGTCGACTGGAAAATACTGTATTTCTCTTGAGGTAGCGGTGTAATCGGGCACAGGCTTGGCTAACACTCCACATCTTTCATTTCGAGTTCCTCAGTAGTGCTTTCTGCGAAGCAAAAGACGAGTCAAAGGATTGGAGAGATGGCCCGGTGGGTTGAATGCACAATCATAAGGACCTGAATCCGGGGCCTCAGAACCCTGTATGAAGCCTGGGCACACATCCGTAATCCCAGGGTCAGGGCATGGATGGAGACAACAGATTCCAGGGTGTGCTGGACAGCCCCTAGTCAATCAGTGATCTCAGGTCAGAGAGAAACTGCCTCAAAAGTAAGGGGTGGGTGTGCTTGAGGAAGATACATATGCTGACCTCTCTCTCTCTCCCTCTCTCTCTCTCTCTCTCCCTTTCCCTCTCCCTCTCCCTCTCTCTCTCCTTCTCTCTCTCTCCTTCTCTCTCCCTCTCTTTCCCTCTCTCCCTCCCTCCCTCTCTCCCTCTCCCTCTCCCTCTCCCTCTCTCTCTCTCTCTCTCTCTCTCTCTCTCTCTCTCTCTCTCTCTCTCTCTCTCTCTCTCTCTCTCTCTCTCTCTCACACACACACACACAGTGGTTTCTTTCAGTGAATGAGGTCACGGGTACCCTCTCTGGCCTCAAAAGCAGGAAGGGCTTGTCACAAGGCCCAGAGCTTTACCTTTGAGTTTGTGTCTCCTCGTCCTTTGGAATTTATACGCACAGCGATTGCAGACCCACATGAGGCTGATCAGCACCACAGCCACAGCAGCAAGCAGAGCAGAGAAGACAGCGACAAAGTGGAGGTCTTCATAGCGGATCTCTGCGGTGGGACAGGAGGGGGGGTAAAGTCTCTCTCAGTGCTGCAAAGTCGCCCACCTGGGCCTGCAGCTCAGGGAGGCCTGGGGCTCTCTTACCGGACACATGCAGCACGATGGTGCCAAACTGCCTGCTCCCCGGGTGCTCTGTAACAGTGATGATGTAGCAACCCGAGTCCCTCACGCCCACACCGAAAAGCTGGATGGAGCCATTGTCGAAGGTGCAGACTCTGTCTCTGTGGCTTTGGGACACATTGGCTGGGGCCCCTGGTTTCCACTCCACGATCTTCCGCTCACCCCAGCTTGACGCGTACCTCCACTCGACGGTGGGCACGCCGTGGCAGGAATAGTCCACTGACAGCAGGATATCTTCTTGGACAGAGGCATTGATGACTGACCGGGGAATGTGCAGCGACACACCGTGACCTGCAGGGTACACATGTGAACCTGTACTTGAGTCAACCTGTCAGCGACACACCGTGACCTGTAGGGTATACATATGAACCTGTCCCTTTCGGTTGTGCATTTTTTATTTGCGTTAGTGTTTTGTCTGTGTGTACGCCTGTATCAAGGTGTCAGGTCCCCTGGAACTGTAGTTACAGACAGTTGTGAACCGCCGTGTGGGTGCTGGAAATTGAATCCAGGTCCTCTGGAAGAGCAGCCAGTGTTCTTAGCTGCTGAGCCCTCTCTCCAGCCCCAACTTACCAGTTTCTTTTTTTTCCCTTTTTAAAATTAACTAATTTTTACATTCCAATCCCAGGTCCCCCTCTCTTTTTTCCTCCCACTCCCTCCACTCCCCCTCCTCCCATCTGTTCCACAGAGAGGGTAAGGTCTCCCCTAGGAAGTCTGCTAAGTCTGTCCCATCATCTTATTGAGGCAGGACCAAGGCACCTCTCCCCTCCACGCCCCTGTGTCTAGGCTGAGCAAGGTATCTCCCCATATAGAATGGGCTCCACTAAGTCAGTTTGTACATTAGGGTTAGATCTTGGACCCACTGCTGGTGGCCTCATATATTGTCCTGGTTACATCATTGTCACCTGCATTTAGGGAGTCTAGGTCTATCTTATGCAGGTTCCCCATTTGTCAGACCTGAGTCAGTGATCTCTCAGTAGCTCGGGTCAGCTGACTCTGTGGGTTTCCCCATCATGGTCTTGATTCCTTTGTTCATATTTTTGCTCCTCCCTCACTTTGATTGTGCTCCAGGAGCTTGGCCCAATGGTTAGTTGTGGATTTTGATGGGCACGTATTGCGCGCCAGCTGAAAAGACACAGAGGCCCCTCCAACTCTGTTCTGTAATCAGCAAGGGGTAGAATACTAGGGACCGACAGACAGAGCAGCCTGCAGGGAGACAATGGCCAGTGCACTGACAAGAAGAAGAAGAAGAAGTCTCATGCCTGTGTCCGGGGGGTGAGCAGGGTGTGTTTGGGGGGGCCAGATCACTGGGAGGTAAGGAGCACTGGGCAGAGCTTAGGACACGACAAAGCTAGAGAACTGGACAAGAGTGCAGACGGCGTCAGGAGCTCAGATGTCAAGGGAGCGACAGGGGTGCCTTAGGCAATCCAACGATGATGCTAATATCTGCAGCCATGGTGACCAGCCTGAGGACTGGGGGTAAGAGTGGAAACGAGACAGGCCACCAGGTGGTTACTGCAAGGGAGTGACAGGAAATTGTAAAGGACAGGGTGGGGCTGGAAAGATGGCTCACTGACTGCTGTCCCAAAGGACCCGGGCTCAAATCCCAGCACCCACATGGCAGCTCTAACAACTATCTGTAACCCCAAGATCTGACATCCTCACACGGGCAAAACACCAGTGCACATAACATAAAATAAAGAATAAAAAAACAAAGGCAGGCGATTAGGACGTGTATTAGGAGGTGCTTGGGGCTGAGCACGGTGGTCAGCTGGATGTGGGTGTGGAGTTGGATGAGGCATTACACGGAGATTTCTGCTAAGTGTGTAAGGGATAAACAGCAGTACCTACCTGAGTAAGGCGTGTTTCACAAGTTCTAAATAGCTACTATGTTGCACAGTGTACACCAGGCACCAGGCCCATGCTATTGAAGCCTCCCATAATTCATTACCAGTTAATCAGTGGTGTAGCCTCAGGCTCATCATGATTACAAAGCCTGGCCAGGGTCTCTCTGCAGGGCTGAGGTTTACACATGGGCAGCTGACTTCAAAGCTCAAGCATTTGCGTCTGGACTCAACTAGAAGGCTAGAGGCTGCAGTAGAGGGGACAGGATGTGACCGGTGCCTCAGCGAGAGGTGGGCGAGGGAATGGGGTGCTGCCTAGTTTTATGTCAACTTGACACAAGTTGGAGCCATTTGGGAAGAGTGAACCTCCATTGAGAAAATCCCCCCCACCAGGTCGGACTGTGGGCAAGCCCATTGTGCGGTTTCCCGGTTGATGCGGGAGGGAGGAGCCAGGGCACTGTGGGTGGTGTCACCTCTGGAAGAGAAGGCAGCAGTCATGAGCAAGGAAGCTGGTGCTCCCCCCTGGCCTCTGCCTCAGTTTCCCCACCAGCTTCCTGCCTTAACTTCCTTCCAAGATGGGCTGTGATGTGAACGTGTGGGTGAGATACACCCTTTTCCTCCCTGTGTTGCTTACGGTAGTGGTGGTTTTATCACAGCAATGGAAACTCTAAGACACTCCATTTTCACCTCTGTTTCCTGTTCAGTTCCCTTATCCTCTGCGGCCCAACTGCCCTGGATCCAAGCTGCTGGCCACAAGTAACTCGCCCTGTAACATTTCTAGATCGTTCTTATTGTCCTATGCTGTTGATAATAGTATCCCACTTGTACCCATTTGCTAAGGTCTGGCTGGGTAACTAAAGAATGCAATGGATTTCATGCTGAAAAATGGGTAGCAGGGCCATTGAAATGGCCTAGTGGGTTAAGGAACTTGTCACCAAGCCTTATGGCCTGAGTTCAGTCCCTGAGACCCACACGGTGGGAGAGAATTGATTCCTTCAAGTTGTCCATGGAGCTCCGCACAGTCGTCATGGGATGTGTATGCATACATTACATGTATGCCTTTTCCACGCAAAATAAATACATTCAGTAAAAAAAAAATCTTAAAATGGTGATAATGACTTTCTAGAGTGATGCCGCTATGAAACAGGGGTGTATTTAGTTTCTTCCTCTAATTTTGATACAACAAGGAGTAAACATTTGATTTGCCTCCACTTCCTGTCACTCTGCTCCTTAAACTCTGGATTCTTCGGAGTGGCTGGAGTGATGGTGAGCCTCTGCACACACAGCATGACCGGTGCCTGGTGACCCTTAGACAGTTTCGGGGTTGTACCGGTCACCAGAAAAGACAAGGTGTGGGGATCACAGACCCTGGCCGGAAACCCCACATCCATCAGCCTGGGAGCAGGCAGCTGGGAAAAAATGTTTGCTGAAAACATGTTTACTGAAAACAATCCAATGCCATAAATTCCTGATAAGGGCTCACTCACTGAAACACCCTGACTTTGATCTTCCCCATGGCTAGCTACTTTTTTCTGCTCCCTGCTGTTTTCCAATTCTGGTGTCAGAGATTTTAACCACCAGCCAGGAGGAAGGAGAGGTCTGTTGGAGATTTGTGCATGTATGGATGGCAGAAGCATTTTCTGAAGGGAAGCGTTTTTCTTGGGAAGTTCTCCTAAGCCGATTTGGGGAGCATAAAGTTTTCTTAACGCAACCGACTGGTCTCTGTGTCATCAATCCCGACGCCCTCGCCACATTCTTGGATACAGGCTGAGCAGCAGGCGAGGCAACAAGGAGGGATTGGAATGTTGGAGGCCTTCTTCTCCCAGCCTCCAGGGAGTGAGCTTGTCTGCCTTCCTCCCTTCTTTCTCTTCCTTCCTTCCTCCTTTCCTTCCTTCCTCCTTCCTTTCTCCCTCCCTCCTTCCTCCTTTCCTTCACTCCCTCCCTCCCTCCTTCCTTCCTCCTTTCCTTCCTTTTCTTCCTAGAGAGAGGGAGGGAGGGAGGGGAAGGGGGCTGTTCCCAGTGGTCTGTGCACAGTCACTTGTGGAGAAGTGTTTGGAAAACCCCAAAGGACAGTGCTCTGAGAGTTCTAGAGTCAAAACACACATATGCCCTCAGGGTTGCTCATCCAGAAAGGGTAAAAAGCTACTCGTGGGCAGCTGACTTCAAAGCTCAAACACTGACACCTAGGCTCAAGCAGAAAACCAGTGGTTGGCAGTGGAGGGGACAGAAAGTGACAGGTGACACCCGCACACAGCGGGGTGGGGGGTGGGGTGGGGGGTGGGGGGTAGAGGAGGGGCAGAGAAGCCCTCCCACGGCGCTTTTCCTGAGTCTGTCTCCCTCTAGTGTTCCCCTGCAGCCTGTGTAAGGTCCTCGGGAATGGGTGAATGCCAGGAATGTGCTTCCACAAGTCCTATGAGCTGTTCTAGCAAATTAGTAGCATACAAAGTGGGTGGGGCATGTCAACTTGTGACATGTGGCCAGGCAGTCAAAAGCATGGGGGCAACCTGGGATTTTCAACAGTTATTTATCCTTCTGTATGTGCGCATTGCCTGCATATATGCATATGTACCACCCACATGCCTGGTGCCTGCAGAGGCCGCCAGACAGGTGTCAGATCCCTCGGCACTGCAGTTACTACGGATGTCAGCTGCTATGTGCTTGCTGACGATAAACTGCCGTCCTCTGCAAAAGCGCCAAGTGCTCTTAACGGATGCACCATCTTGACAGCGCCAGCCTGGGGCTTTTGACTGGCATCTGAAGAGCAGGGCAGCCTTGTGAACTGAGGCAGAAGGAAGTGCGTTACAGACACCCCGACACTTCCCCTCAGAGATGGGGTTCTCACACACCATCATGCACACCATCGTCCACCCTGGAGATTTAGCTTTGGAATAACACCATTCTCTTAGTGCATGTTTGTTTATGGATGTGCCTGCATGGGTGTGTGCAATGTGTGCCCTTGTGCATGCGTGGAGATCACAGGACAGCTTAGGGAGTCAGTCCTCTCCTTCCATCATGTGAGTCCCAAGGATGAAACAGATTGTCAGTGGTGGTGGCAAGCACCTCCCCCCTGCCCCAGCCATCGCTCCATTCCTGCGAATAATACTACATACAGTCTATCTTCAAGATCCCTTGACTGTTCACAGGATGACCCCTTGTGTTCCTACACTGAATCCACTCACCGCATTTGGTCCTCCCTCATGCCATGTTAGTCCTCCACCCAGCAAAGCTTCTACACCTTAGAGACGGTGTGAGACTTTCAGGGCAATATTTGAAAACATCTTACTCTAGATTTGCTTGGAAACAAGGTAAAACCATGGTAAAAGTGACATTTTCATATTGCATCAGGCCAGAAAGCAAACACAGAAGTTTGTTTCATGGCTGGGGGAGCTAAGTTGGATAGATCACCTGGGTTGTGATTGACATGCCACACAGAAGTCTGTTTCATGGCTG